TTGGTGGTCAGGAAGAAGAGGAGAGGAAAGACAGAAAAGGAGACCAAGTGGTGGAAGTTGCAAAAGAAAGAATGTCGTGAGGAATTCAGACAGAAGTTGAGACAGGCTTTTGGGTGGTCAGGAAGAACTTCCAGATGACTGGGAAACTACAGCAGAAGCGATCAGGGAGACAGGTACAAAGGTGCTAGGTGTGTCAACTGGAAGGAGGAAAGAAGATAAGGAAACATGGTGGTGGAACGAGGAAGTACAGGACAGCATTAAAAAGAAGAGTCTAGCTAGAAAGAAGTGGGATGTAGAAAGGACTGAAGACAGTAGACAGGATTACAAGAAATTGCAGTGTAGAGGCGATTAAAGACAGAGATGGAAAGGTGCTAACAAGTGAGGAGAGTGTGCAGAGAAGATGGAAAGAGTATTATGAGGAACTGATGAATGAGGAAAATGAGAGGGAAAGAAGGAGGGAAGTGGTGAATATTGTAGTTCAGGAATTAGCAAAGATTAGAAAGGATGAAGTGAGGAAGGCTCTGAGGAGAATGAAGAGTGGAAAGGCTGTTGGTCCAGATGACATACCTGTAGAGGTGTGGAAGTGTCTAGGAGAGACAGCAGAGGAATTTCTATCTAGTTTGTTCAACAGGATTTGTGGATGACATTGTGATCTGTAGTGAGAGCAAAGAGCAGGTGGAGGAATACCTGGAAAGGTGGAGGTCTGCTCTGGAAAGAAGAGGAATGAAAGTCAGTCGCGGTAAGACGAAATACATGTGTCTGAACGAGAGGGAGGGAAGTGGAACAGTGAGGTTACAGGGGGCTGAGGTCAAGAAGGTGCAGGAGTTTAAGTATTTGGGGTCAACAGTCCAGTGTGACGTGGAGTGTAGGAAAGAGGTGAAGATGCGAATGCAGGCAGGTTGGAGTGGGTGGAGAAAGGTGTCAGGAGTGTTGTATGACAGAAGAGTGGCAACATGAATCAAAGAAAAGGTGTACAAGACAGTAGTGAGACCAGCTATGCTGTATGGGTTAGAGACTGTAGCAGTGAGAAAAAGAGGATGCCGAGGATAGAGTTAGGTGGAAACAGATGATTTGCTGTGGCGACCCCTAATGGGAACAGCCGAAAGAAGAAGAAGATGTGGCATGCTTCATTAATACTCTGGAAGACTTTGGCAAGAATTTACATTGGTTTAGTTCTTGTAAAATGCATCATGCTAAATGCACAGCAGTGACCACTCAACACCTTGAACATGAGCCAGGAACACGTCTACAAACATGAGAATAAACTGGCGACAAGGACACATCAGACACCGCCTTATATGCCACTGGGTTGATTGGTGTCAGGTGTGCCTCGTCGCTGAGTGCAGGCGCTGGAATGTGAGGGGGCAAAGGTGCCAGCCTCAGACATGACAGTACCCCACTCCACATGGGAGCCCCCAGTAGACCCACCAGGCTTCTCAGGGTGAAGAGCATGAATGTCAAGTACCAAGGAAGGGTCCAAAATGAAGGAGTGCAGGACCCAAGAGTGCTCCTCTGGGCCGTAACCCTCCCAGTCCACCAGGTACTGCAACCCACATCCCCGGCACCACATGTCAAGCAGGCAGCAGACCGAATAAGCAGGTCCACCAGCGATGTCTACAGGCAGAGGAGGCAGCACCGCAGGAGGGCTCAGAGGACTGGGGGCAACAGGCTTCAACTGGGACACATGAAAGTTGGGGTGAACATGCATAGAACGGGGCAATTTCAGGCACACCGCTGTGGGGTGCAAGACCATTTCCACCTTGAATGGATCCAAGAAATGTGGTGCCAGCTTTCAGGAGTCCTCCTTCAGGGGAATATGTTCAGTCGATAGCCATACCTTTTTACCTGGGCTATAGGCAGGTGCTGGCCGACAATGATAATCTGCAAGATGGCGGTTGCTCTCTGCTGTATGACTCAGGGCAGCCCCGGTCTTCTTCCAGATGCAATGGCAACGCCGTAGGTGTACTTGTACGGAGGGCAGTGTGATGTCTGACTGTTTTGAAGGCAAGAGAGGGGCCTGGTAACCTAGGGATACTTCAAAAGGAGACAGACAAGTAGCAGAACTGACTAATGTATTGTGGGCGTATTCAACCCATGCTAGGTGTTTGCTCCAAGCGGCTGGTTCTGTGAAGGTTACACACCAGAGTGCCTCTTCTAACTCCTGGTTAAGCCATTCAACTTGGCCATTTGACTGAGGGTGGAATCCAGAAGACCGAGGCCCCTAAGGCTGAACAGAAGGTTTGCCAAAATTGTGATGTAAATTGGGGACCTCAATCAGAGACCACATCCATGGGGATGCCATGTAAACAGAAGACGTGGTTAACCAGGAGTTCTGTGGTTTCTTGGGCGGTGGGAAGTTTGGGCAGTGCCATGAAATGAGTGGCCTTGGAGAACCAGTCTATGATTGTTAATATGGTGGAGTGACCCTGAGATGAAGGCAGTCCAGTGATGAAATCCAATGCAATGTGGGACCAAGGGTGAGTGGGTACAGGTAGAGGACAAAACTGCACACAAGGAGGCTGATGCATGGCTTTCGAACCTGCGCTGCAGTACTGCGATGGTTCAGTGGATACCAGGGTGACAGGTAAAGCGAGAGGTGTGAGCACAGTCCAGGACTTGGGATTGCATGGAGTCGGGTACAAAGATTCTCCCCGGAGGTCCTCCACCGGGGTCAGGCTGGGTCTCTTGTGCCTCTGTTATCTTTTGCGTGATGTCCCAAGTGACCGTGGCCACCACACAGGATTCAGGCAGGATGAGGTGGTCCTTCTGGTCGCATTGTGTAGATCCAAACTGACGTGATAAGGCATCTGACTTCACATTCTTGGTCCCAGGTCGGTAGGTAATAGTGAAGCTGAAGCACCCAAAGAAAAGAGCCCAGCGGGCCTGGCATGCATTTAGTCCATATAATAAATGGTGTTTCAGCCCCCTCTAACAGATGCCTCCACTCTAGCGGTGCTGATTTAATCACTAATAACTCTCTATTTCCCACATCATAATGGGGGACACTGGGGAGAGCTGTCGGGAAAAGAAGGCACAGGGATGAACAGCACCATCTTGGTCTGACCTTTGGCTCAGGACAGCCCCCAGTCCGAAGCATCCACCTCTACAATAAATTGGTGTGTCTGGCTGGGTTAACACAGAGGCAGAGGTAAACCTGTCTTTGAGCTGCTGGAAGGTTTTGTTAGCCTCATCAGACCATGTGATTTTAGTGACAAGGGATGTGAGCTTGGTGAGGGGGGCTGCCAACTTGCTATAGTTTCTGATAAACCGGTGATAAAAGTTGGCAAAACCTAAGAATCTTTGGAGGTCCTTTCGAGTACTCGGGGTGGGCCACTCCACAACTGCACGCACCTTGCCAGGATCTGCCTTGATCCTCCCCTGTTCAATGGTAAAGCCCATAAAACTCATTGTCCACGTGAAACTCACACTTTTCTGCCTTAACATAGAGACAGTTTTCTAAGAGAAGTTGGAGAACTTGGCAGACATGTTGGGTATGTTCAGCGGAAGAATATGAGTATATCATCCAAATACATAAAAACAAAATGATTGAGAAAATCATGGAGGGCGTTGTTCACGAGGGACTGGAAGACAGCTGGGGCATTGGTGAGTCCAAAATAGCATCAGCAAGTACTCAAAATGCCCCAGTGGTGTTTTGAAGGCCATCTTCCATTCATCTCCCTTGCACGTTTTGACCAAGTGGTAGGCGTTTTGA